TTGTATGGCCAAAGTAGATGAATGGGCATTAAATTGAAATGTATCATTTATCAATTGTGTTAAACATTTGAAAAATCCATTCTATAAACACTGAGACTGTACCACGTTTCTAAACTTCTCTGCAGTACATCATATTTATTCCCAAATGAGAAATCATTTTGAGGGGGTTGACTTATAGAGAAAAAAAAACGAGATCCAGGAGAGTGGGTGTTCCTCACATTTCTCCCATTCTTCTCTGCTTTCACGCATAAGTACCGAGACAGTGGCGGGCAAATCAAGTGCTTGTTGGACAGCACAACAATTTTCTGCTACAGGCTGCAAATTACACGCCACGCTGTGTCCTCTGCCTCCTCTGGACCCGGAGATATCCTGTTGCTCCTGTTGTCCAATGCACTTTACATTTCTGATCGAAGCTGAAAAATTGTTATTAATTAACCCAGCTCATAAAATTCGTTGTCATCTTCATCCAAAACAAATCTCACCTTCCTCTTCCTCTTCATGCCAGGTAAGCAAACAGGTTTAGTACAGTAGTATTTGTATGTTTTCAGTATTTTTTTAACATGCTACTGCAAACTGTAGGCTATAACAAACAGTAGCCTACCAATGAACATGAGCCACTGCACTCACACTGCTGGGCTTCAGACCATATGCGCTAGACAACGAACCTGTCTATCACTCAGCTCCTTTAAAAATGCTCTAGCGTTTTCTTCCGCTTCTTTGGTAGGGATGTCATAAAGTGTCTCCATTCTTAAAGCGACGCGCTGGAAAGGATGGCACCTCACAGCGAGGAGAATCGCTGCAACGCCCACAGCTCTTTCAGATGGCACATGCTGAAAAGACTGCTTCCCCTTGGAAGAGGGGTGCTGGGCGCTGCAAAGGACAGGGTGTGCTGAGCCACTGCCTGCTTCAAATGTTTTGTGTCCGCAAATGAACAACTAAACTCACAGCTCAAACCCCAGGCTCGACTGTTTGTGTTTGGTCTGACCACCTAATAACTCCAGTCTAAATATTCTCTGTACTCTCTTCCCACAAAGTCAAATCTGCTCTTTTGATGAGACCAGCAGAGGCTCCAGATGAGTTTGTTTTATCCGAGAAAAGAAATGCCACGTGACAACCGAAGTGAATGCATTTAACTTTCACTAAGAATTTCTATGAACTCCTCTCAGCATTGTTTAAGTCGGCCAGTGTGGTTAGCCAGTATAATAGTAACGCATATTATATTAGAGCTGAAAACCGAAGGGAGGGAGAAAATAAGTTATTAGCATTAGATTGGGACCAGTCAAGCGCTCTTAAGAGAGCAGACGTGGATGAAATGCGCTGCACACTCCTCCATACCCTGTTCATTTTATTGGGAAATAAATTTACCCTTGCTAGGATAGGTTCAGCACAACCTCCGAATATTCCCTGCATCAGTCTCATACTGTGTTTAGCCTATCTCTTGCTGACTTGTGCATTTAATATAAAGCCTACATACAGCATGTGGCACGCAAAAACACTGACCCGAGGTTCCAGGCTGTTCGCAGATAGGCCTACAGTAACACCGTGCATGGAGAGAGCCTCTTTTCATGCTCAGTGCAGAGTCAGCTGACTAGAGACACCTGCATCAGAAGACAACACCGTGCTCTTAGATAAATAAATGTACACCTGCACACCTGCAGGACCTTGAGGCCAGCAAGAAAGATTGTAGCCAACACCTCCCACCCCAGACACAAACTGCTTGATACAGACTTCTCTCCATCAGGACCAAAACCTCTCGCCATAAGAACAGCTTCTTCCCAACTGCAGTTGGCCTAATTAACAAGGCTAAGGCCCCCACTGACACTGACATCCTCCTCTATGGGGTGCCGAATGTAAAAATTTCGTTACAAATTTTTAACTGATATATTTTATTATTAGCTCACTTTCCTCACATTTAAGTTAATATTCCTCTCATTTGAGACAAAAATTCATGTAAAACACCATGTTATATTTAATTGTTAACCATGTGCAGCCAGTATGAGAAGTATAAATCTTTAGTCTAAAAGTTAAATGTTAAATCTAAATATTAAATCCAAATCTATATGTTACATCTAAATCTAAATGATAAATCTAAATCTAAATGTTAAATGTTAAATCTAAATCTAAATGTTAAATCTAAATCCAAATGTTAAATGTTAAATCTAAATCTAAATCTTAAATCTAAATCTTAAATCTATATCTAAATATTAGCCCAAATCTAAATCTAAAAATTAAATCTAAATCCAAATGTTAAATGTTAAATCTAAATCTAAATCTAAATCTAAATCTAAATCTAAATCTTAAATCTAAATCTTAAATCTCTATCTAAATATTAGCCCAAATTTAAATCCAAATCTAAATCTAAATATTAAATCTTAATCCAAAAGTTAAATGTTAAATCTAAATCTAATCTTAAATCTAAATGTTAAATCTGAATCTAAATATTAGCCTAAATGTAAATGTAAATCTAAATATTAAATCATAATCCAAATGTTAAATCTAAATATTTAATCTAAATCTAAATGTTAAATGTCTCAGCTTGCACAGCCCCGCCCACGCCACTGACCGTGGATCAGCCGGTGAGATGGGTGAGAGGACTCAGCTGATTGTCTGTATGAAGGTGAGACTGAGCGGGCAGTCATGACAGGTGTGCGGGCTGCACTCCAAGGTGCAGTTCCACCAGTACCGTCCACACTATTAATAGTAAGGTAAGTAGTTTTAATTTTAACTTCTTAAAGGGGAGTTACTGTTAGCTACCTGACTAGCTACTGTTTGTTGGTGTCACTCGGATGCTAGCTAAGGTTTTGTGATCCACTGTAAGGATTTTCTGTAGCTATATTTCAGAAAGGTAACCTTAGTTACCCACAATCTACTCTCTGGTTACCGGTAACAAACTGACCACCATATGAAGCCTATGCTGTTGCTAATATGTGACTTTCCCAGATAGCTAACATCAGCTTGATCACTGGCTATATACCTAGCTAGATACCTATATCTGACATTTAAAATGCTGGTCTCCACACCACAAGGTTAATTCACAAGGACTTCCAGCAGCGTCCTCAGGCCCTTCCAGCTTTACCATCACCATTACATAACTGAGATCAGTAATTGAAGATGTGATATATAGCTAGATAACAGTTATGATACTGTATATTAGCTCAATAAAGGAAACCCTTCCAGTCTATCAAGCTAGCTAATTGGCCAACCATACCAAGTTCTGTTGGAACCACTCAAAAGACATATTGCAAAGGAGGAATTATTGTTCTGCTTTTGCATGTCTTGATTCATTGTTCACTATATACATCATATTATGTGAGGTTGTGTTACTAAACCATAATTACATATTAACTCTTTGTCATTCCTAGCTTGTCCTTTGTTGACTATGTTTTTTGTCCAATGTCTTTGTCACTGTAGTTTTTGCCACTGCAAGGTTACGATTGTGAACTGCTCCATATTACAAACATGCAGGTTCATCTAAACCATATATATATATATATATACATATATATATTCACAGTAGCATAACAGTACAATTGTTATAGTTATCTTTAATCGAGTTTATTGATTTACCACTGAAATTAATTGTTCAATGCTTGTGTTTTAGCAGTAGGTATCATCTGCTAATTGTATTTTTTAATTTTATATTTGGCTTTACAAACATACTGACCAGTTAACAAAAAAATATTAGCGACAAAGAATCAAAGCAAAGATAAGCAGCAAATTTAGGCACAAAATACAGACTTGGCTGTGTAATGCTTCTGTTGTATGGTGCTGGAGGAAAAGTTGTGGGCATCTAATAATAGGGTTAGGGTTAGCTAACCTTAACTGTCTTGAGAGGTTGTACCATGAGTCCTCTGAGCACCCCAAGAGTTCTGTAGTGACAGCAAGCGATATGACAAAAAATCAACAAAGGACAAGTTGCAAATGAGAACAGGTTGATTAGTAGAGTGTAAGTCAGGGTGGATGTTGGCAAATTGCAGCAAGTCTAGAATTACTTCATTAAAGAAGCACTGACGAACAATTTCTGGTTAATATTGATGTTCAGCATTGGTCACAGTAAACTGTAATGTGAAATCTATTATCTTGGGTGACATGATTACATCCTGTGCATGGCAAAATGACAAGTTATTACCATATTACGTCCTATCTGTTTTTCTCCCTTTTTTAGAATCAGCATACCTTCATTTCTAAAGTGAACTTCAGATCTTTGTTATCAGAAAATTCTGGCAGACAATGATGAATTTTTATCACCATTTTGTGGTTGCTCTAATAAAAAGTGCTAGTGTGACATGATAAAACTGTTTAGTCCTTTCATAACCAGTGCACTTTGTTAGTAGTTACAGTTAAGTAATTGTTAATTGTATGGCACTACTGGGCTGTGGGTCTGGAGATCTGCAGGACCAAAAGCTACTTCAGAAAGTGTTGTCCCTAGCAGCAGCAAACCCTTGATTTCCTCTTTAGAAATTAAGATTTTTAAATTTGGCACTCCTTATGGGTCCAGCACACTCCCACTGCCTCACTCTGTCTTTGGACGACCACAATTATCTTCACATCATGATCTTACCTCCTCTGTGCATTTTTACGGCTTCATGTTCTGTATTAACGGTACATATTTGTCCAGCTGTGGCTCTCTGAATAAAACATGACACCTCAGTAAGAGATCTATCTATCTCTTTTTTTTTTTTTTTTTTTTTACAAGATTGTAAAGTGTTTAAACCATGTGAGACAGTATTTACATATATTCCTGAAGGAGACTGAAAAATCACATCTCACATCCTCGTGGAAAACACTAAACCTTGGTCTTCTTCTGGGAACCTGCCTGGGCTTCACTTTAAGGCAGAATCTTACTTCATTTTGTCCATCATAGTGTTCTCAAACTCCTGGAGAAAAAATCAGCATAAAGCAAAAAGAAGAAATGAAACTCCACTGCTACACAACAAGCATTTAACTGTAACAAATGAAATGCATCTGCCACAAAACACTCTCTGAAGCATCATCTTGTGAATTTAATCAGTCATATCTTTTTAACAAAGTCATCTGAACAAGAAAATCATAACATTTAACATCACTCATATCTGAGTCATAAATCTTTGAATATGTTACAAAATTATATTTAAATATTGTAAACACAACAAAATGCAAAATTCTATGACATAGCAAAGTTTGACAGGGGAATGTGATGTTATGCTTCCAAAGAAATATACATTTCAGCTAACTTGTCCAATTGAATAGGCTGCAATGAGTGAGAGGTACACTACTACATAAGAATTCCAACTAAACATTGAAATGACTGCAGATGACTTAAAAAAAAAAGTCTATGCCAAACACGTGCAACTTTATTACTTGGATGGTAATAGCAAAAAAGTTTCACAACTAATAAGGCTGTCAATGAGGATGTTTTCATTTCATATTATCTCTGTACTCTTAATAATTCCTTCGAGAACGTACACCTAATTTGTGCAAATACATTCACGTTAGCAGTAACTCTCCATGAGTTGTTTTTTCTATTATTTGTCAGTAGATGAGTTTTCACTCCTTTAGTCAGCAAATTGTCACATTTGCTAAATAGTAGTGATTCATTAATTTAACAGTGGGCTTCGTAAAGTCGGCTGCATTGTAAAGTTCACTCCAGCATCTATTTTGAATAAGGGTGCTAGGTGAGAATTTCTCAAAATTATGGGGCATTAAGCAGCAATTCACTGACATTTTAGTTTTTGACATTTTGTATTTTCCTTTGACGTGAAGTAATCACATTCCCTCTATAAATATATGCTTATACAACAGTCTAAACTTTAGTTTTCGTACAGAATGCCTTACTGAGGCTTCGGGGATGCTCACATTTAATTCACATTACTTCATGGGGCATAGTTGAATCAGATGAAAGTCACCTCACACTCAAAAACCTTCCAGAAAACCACCATTATAGCAGTTTAAGTATATGCAGTTACACTCCATTTCCATTCTATTCACAATGTTTGTAAGTTGTGCTAACATTTTTGTGGGTTTAGGTATGGCACTAGCACTTAGTTATGCTACACGTAGTCAGCCTGAGGGCTGTGATTATTAGGATCATCTTTTAGAGGTTCCCTCTCAGCTGTCTACTTTAAAAATCCTTATTGGTGCTTTTTAACATGTTACTGAGACAAATAAGAGATGAGGTCAGGCTGACATGCTCACTTGATGAGGATAAAGCACCGTTTTCAGGTGTATTGGTTTGATGTTCTGCATGTACATATGTAATGTGGTGAGCAACTGTTGTGCCTGATGATCTCCAAAGTTAACATAAACAATGGAATAGTAAGAACTGGGAGGGAATGTTTTAAGCAAAGGTCTCATTAAACGATAAAGAACACCAAAACCATAAATCCAATCTCCTTCATATATACATGACATGTCAATCTTCTTTCAAAAATGCCTTCACATTTTCAGTTAAGAATTTTTGGGGTCTTCACATTATATGTCAATAACTCACAAAGTAAGCTGTAAAACTATTAGGCATTACAGAGTTTATGATTACCACTCTCAGTTTACTTAAAAAAAGCTTTTCATGTGTTGGGAAAAGCAATGTGTTCACGTGTTGTCAAAATAAGATAAATATGTATAATGTAGCATCTCAAGGTAAATGGGCAGTATTCATGAATGTTTGGTTTGAAAGTAAATGTGTCCATACAACAAAACACAAAACCATTACAGGCCAAATAAAATACAATGTGAGTTCTAAGTGCAAAAACAAGTGAGAAAAAAGAAAGAGAAAAACACCACCCTAACAACTACCTCCACCAATTCTTTGAGCATTTCATAGGAAACAACATCAAACAGCAAAAACAAGATGTAGGAATGTTCACGCCATTTAAAAACAGTTTATTCGTGTCAGTGCTGGAAACAAAAAGAGTCCTCAGTGGATATTTTGTGATTTGAAAGCTGAATAATAGGACCACCCACTTTTCACCAGCCTACATACTAACTCAACATTAGGCCCATTCGGAAAATATGTCCAAAGCTCCCAAGGCCATTTAGCATAACTGATATTTATTGGTGGTATATATAGTAAAACAGTAGTGGCACAAGTAAAAAGGCCATATAATTCACTTTCTGTAACCACCAATATTCAAGTGGTTTTCATTATGATAATAACTTTAATAATAATGTTGACTTTAACAAGGGGAAACTTTGCTTTTAGGTGGTGGAGCCTACAGAATCAGAGTGAAAGGTGATGTATCCAGAGGACGATGCCGAGGGTGTGCTTACAAAACTGTTTGTGCTTCCTTTACTCTCGGCCTTGCTCAGGTGCTTCTGATGCCCCCAGTAAGCTCCAGCACCAGCCCCAGCTCCACCACCTGTCCTGGGCTTACAGGCTGAGTGCCCTAGAGTCCGCTGGCTGCACCCAGGTGAGCCCACTTCACCCTGCTCTTTCCCATCTCGCAGGCACTCCCGGTAACTTTTACCGGAGCCACAAGCAGCAAGGCTCTTTCCACCGGGTCTGTCTGGTTTCGGGGAACCCTCAGGCGAGTTCCCCCGACTACTGATCCTTTTGTGTTCTGAGAGCCGCCGGAGCGCTTGAGGCTCACGCTCAAAGTCTGTGAGCGGGAAGTGAGGAAGGATGACTGTGTGCTGTTCATACACGTTGGGGATAAGTGAGATGGTGGATGTACGCCGCGGGCTCTTCCTGGGACTTGGCAGCGGCGTCTCATCTATAAAGTTGATCACCTCATCTCGGCTGAAACACCGCAGTTCGTCCTCGTAGCGCTCCCCGCCACAAACCACGCGTGGCAGGTGCTTGAGGGAGTGCATACTATCCTCAGAGCGTCGCCGCTTGCGATGTGGGTGATGGTGATGGTGGCTCTCCTCGTGGTAGGAGACCAGGCTGCTCCTGCGCCTCTCGTGGCGCGGCAAGGTGGAGCTGTAGTGGGCACTCACTATCATGTCCTCGGTGGAGCCCCAGCGGTGAAGGTATGAGGGGATCCGGTCGCTGGTCCACATGTCTGTTTCGTCGTGGGAGTATCTTCTTGTAGGGGGCACCTGGACGCAAGACACAGAGCAAGACTAAACCCTTCAGTCTCTAAATTACTTTGACATTCACCTAGAGCTCTACAACACAGAGTAGGTAAGCATTGTTATTATAGATTGTAACTCACCTACATTATCAGTTATAAGAGATAATACATGTAGGATTCTTCAAGGTTAGGTGGCTGCAAGTGCCACTACACCTACATGTATCACATATAAGTTGTTTGTCCAAGATGGTAAGTGCAATTTGATTTATTTCCTTATTTTAATTAATCCCTCAGGCGTCTAAACATTAACAGTCTAACATATATCAACAGGGTTATAACTGAACTAGTGTTCACCTCCATTATCTGGAGATGAGACTGCAAAGGTTGATAGTTTCCTATATGTTATACTCACATTCCATTCTGTTCTGACAACTATGCAAGAGAGAGAGGGTTTGTCAAGGTGATGTCAAGAGCCACAAGATTGATATCAGCCTGCCCCCCTGTGGTGGCTTTTAGTAGATGCAGAGAAATGAGACAGCAGACGATACAGTAGCATTGAGTGTGTTACGTGGGAGGGCTGGACAGCAGAGGGCAGCACAAACATTAGAATGAATTATAATGCAGGACAACTCAGCAAGATGGAGAGAGACAGAGAGAGAGAGAGGGAGACAGAGAGAGAGAGAGAGACTCACACAACAATGCAATAAAGCCAAAGAGGCTTTATTCTGCAATCAAACCACTTGAGAAGTGCCATAGCAGTTCTCCAATGGGGGTGCTACTTTATAATTATTTGAAGGGTTTTGTTGATTCATGGTCTAACTGGGCCTCAAACCCTCCATCAGCAACAAAAATACTGTGACTGTGTCATTGTTCAGCCAGTCGTCCTGTAACTGAAAAAAATGCACCTCATTTGTTTCACAATCACACATATACAGCCAGGAATAACACGGTCAAATATTATTTTGCAATCAAAGGAATCTGATGTCATGACGTATTGGACACACAAACAATGGATGGAGTTATGGTGTGATGTAATGAAGTGATAGCTACTGTATACATCTCTGTTTCAAGGATTCTTTAAAGGGGAATTAAATGGAATTGGTTTTTGAAATGTCCATTATAATGTTGGAAATCTGAGGTTTTATACCAATTTAAGAATAACTTTTATAAAATATCCAATATGCAAATTATTAAAGTAAATGCCAACTACTTGGGCTGCAGTCTGTACAGAGAAACTGAAGCCCTTGCTAAGTTGTTTATGACAAAGATGACACAGTGTTAAGATGCTTTGTTAGGGTTAATATTGTTTGGGTTGCATCAGTTGCTTCTAAAGTTACATATGCTCACCACAGTCTTCCAGGCCAAGTCCAGCAAGAGATTCATTATCATCATCATCATCATCATCATCATCATCACTACTTTAATCAGTAATTTTCATTAATATTCATTCAATATCTGATTATGGGCCAGAATTTGTAGTTTACAGAGTTTGATTGAAATCAAAGGAGAAAATAGGATTCTGTTTTATTGCCCTAGAAGGCTGTGTGTTAGAAAAAAGCTTTGGTGTTAATGCAGGCTGAAAAGAAGCATTTGACAGCTCTGCAGACTGGGATGAATGCTGGATCCAATGGACACAATGCATTTTTGGGTGGAACATGAGCAGATATTTGTAGTGCTTTCCTGAAACCCTGAGGGATTCCTGAAATGTAGAAGGTAAGTCAGTTACTAAACTCTTACCCTCTTACAAAAGAAAAATGTAGTCAGTTGCATGTAGGTCCATGGCTAGGACACACTGGTCGATAATGAAGCACATCTAATGTTGATGGGACTGCTGATGGTCATATTTACCAAACATTAGTCAGCCAGAGTGTATTTTTGATTCACGAAAAAAAGGCAAAAAAAATCAGTGGCATATCTGGGAGAGATAGCATCACAAAATGCAAGATGCAAGATACTGTTAAGGCCCACAAGGCCATTTCATCATGCACATTAGCAATGTAAAAATAGTTCAATTGATCAAGTAAAACAAATGAAGAAAAATCAATAAAATATACCTGCAAATACTGCATTCTATCTTCCTGTTGTTCCCTCAATGGATACCCTTGCAGAACCCCCCTTTCTAAGGTTGAGAACTCATACTTGGCATTACGGTCTATCGTCACGATTTCAGGCGCCGAGCTATAGTCATATGGTCTGTCATATATTAAGTCGGCATGAATTCCTCCATCTTGGCTGTTTTCTGCAAAGTGCAGAAAAGCACGAGCGTCAGGATTAGAGAGCAACGGACTCAATACACAAGACAGACAGACAGACAGACGAATAGATAAGAGAGACAAGTTCAATTGTTCTCTGATTTGTTGAATTTTGTTTGGAGCCTCCTCAGGAAAATGAGGTTTAGATCAAAAAATGTTTTTCAACAAAAATCACCAATAATTCTATTCAAATGTAAGGGGATGAAAACGCCCCAGACTGGGTCTTAATTCAGAAACCATGCCAAATAGTTGAATAAAAAAGCTGAGAAAGGTACAGGGCTTACATTCTGAACAACAAAATCATACAAGCAATGTCAAGTCTTCTTTGTGTATAAATACCCATCTACCAAGTTTATTTTCCTAATTACTGCATTCATGTTCATTAAAGATCAATTGGAGATGGGTGTTAAATGCTGATCTTAAGGAAAATGCTGGCCAAAAGATGGAAGATGAAAGTGGCTATTTGCACAGGCAGCTTGGCATGCAAGTCAGTAGCTTTGGAAAAACAGGAAACAATCCTTATACATACAACTGTGATGAGTTATACATGGCAAGCCCTCTGGAAAAAAAAGCAGAGAACTGGTAGTGTTAATTATCACACAGAATATGGACTGCCCTGTGTTGTTTTATGGCTCCTGCTGGACAGTGAGCAGTTATTGGGGAGGGTGTCAAGAGGGAGAGGATCAAAAGGTTTGGAGGGTTACAAACAAGAGAGAAGGGGTTCAGATCGGGTTGAGTTTAAACAGTGTCAATAGAGAAAAAGACAGATGGTTCATACTGTCATTAGTTTGCAGGAACTGTGGAGATCTGGTCATGGACCCAGTCCACAAGCCTTTATATGATTATCATGTGACCTAATTTTGGGACTGAATTTTGTTTAAGTGTCTGTGATTCCTTGTGAAATTATTCATTTTCCGCCCCTTTGGAATACATCAAATATTTCTGACAAAGACAGAAGTCTTCAACCACTTTCTTCTATTTCTGCCTTACAATATACAGTCGTTTGCTCTTTAAGTCACTCTGATCTGACCAGTAGGTGGGAGTCCATGTCACACAAATAAAAGAAAATTAAAACAAACAAAAATGAAAATAATAAAATAAATAAAATTCATCTATATCTATCTATATTTAAGTTCTGTTTCCAGAAAAAAAAAAAAAAACTTGGCTGTATCCCTTTGTGACTTGAGGGAAATATGACCATCATAATGACATGAAAATGCTTTTCAGCTTTAGTGCATTTGTTCCAGTTTCACTATGGATCCTAACAAATAAATGGCGAACCATTTATTTTATCATCCTCTCATGCCGGGGCATTTTAGAGGAAGACTGCCCAGTTTAAATGCACTCGAGTGAAAAAGAACAGAGTGCTGCGAGGTAAATATGTCCTTTGTCCAGCAATATTTTTTTCTTTCTTTTTTCCATCAATCTCATAGCAGGGTAAAGCAAAGCGTTTCATTAAGGACACAGCATGTACAAAAACAGAAAAATATATTTTAGTATGGAAAATTAGATTACACAGACACTTGTCACTTCAGTTTCATCTCCTGATGACAAAGGTCACATGATAGGTCACATGATAACATTTGACCACTGATTTCACACCTTAATGTACAGCAAAATATAATGTAAGTAATAATGACCATAAATCATATATATCATATATGTGTTGAGACAAGCCAAAATCAGTGGGACTAACACAGACTGTTTTTATGTCTCCATACAAATAATTTTGTGGTGTCACTATTTCTAGTGTCTTGTTTAACTTGTAGTTTGATTGATCTGACTGAAAATAGATGGCAGACTGTATTTGCATAGTTTTAATATCTAGCAAGCAAAGCAGTCACAGAGGGTGAGGATGTGGAGCTGCAGTAATCATGGGTGCTCCAGAGTCAAGGAGCAATTTAAACCTGCATCATGAGCTAGAGACCAGGAATATATTATCATCCTTTTTCAAAATTGTGTCAAAGCATCCACAGAACTCTCTGAAACCACCTCTCAAGTGTCTCTGTTCAGACTTCAGCCCTACTTCTGTGTAATGTGCAGTGTTGTAACTGGCTACAGACACGTAACAATGTCGCTAATATATTATGTTCTTATAGTTACGTCCTGTGATTTTCACTGTGAGAAAGCTAATATACAGTAATCCACCTTTTCTCTGCAACATTCTGAAATGTTTGTGGAAATTAGGTTATGTTTTACACATCTGTTGTGATGACCACTGGCTTCGTTGTCTAAATTTCCTTTTAAAATTTGGTATCATGAATTACAGCATGTCTCAGCTGCTAATGCCAAAATTAATTTCTCAGGATTGTATATCACAGAGATCAAACTATACTGTACCTCAAAGAGCAGAGGTGGAGATCTCTATCAAACATCAGGCTACAAAGTAGAGATTGATACAAACCTCTGGTACCTTCCTGCAATATTGCTACCCTTTATTTTTCCAGTACAAGTGCTCCCTAGGCTAAGAGACAAAAGAATTCAGGTCGATGAATCACATACGTCACTGTAATTCCTATGGCCAAAGACTGTCCAGGAGATTTCACAAAACAATTTTCTGTTTCCAAACCCACAACCCAACCCAAAAGAGTCATGCCTAGTCTTTACCTGTCACTAGGGTTCTATAAACGAATTATCTGTCATCTGTCTTTGGAACACCTCAAAAATATACCAAATTATCTTTGGAACCCCTTCGCCAATTCACTTTGTGCATGTCCGCACAGAGCATTCAACAGGACAAACTTAATCCTTAATGCTCTTTCTAACACACACTGAGCTGTCTTAGGAAATAGGAATCATTCACATAATCGGGTGAAGAGGAGGGAAAAAGGAGGCAGGATGGGAGGGAGACACCTGAGAGTGACTTACCCTCATCCATGTCGTCGTTGGACATGATGGCAACGCACTTCTCCCACACCATGCGGATGTCAGCCCGATAGCGGTCACAAGCCCAGAGGAACATGGGCAGCAGGATGGACTGGGCAATGGAGCACCACAGGACACACAACACCATCCAGTTGTACGAGCGGTCGAACTTCAGACTGGCAAAGCTCACCACCTGTATAGTGTCAAGAGAGGGTTAGAAAAAACATAATCAGCTATTATACTATATGTAACAGTAAAGAAAAGAAACCAGGGTCACAAAGCTGCAATTCAAACACAGTTAACACACTGAATAAATTCTCTACCTGCACACTAACTGCACAGTTGCTTTTCAAAGGTAGCAATAATAAATCAACATGTCAAGAGACTGGGGCATGGTGGCAGTTCATTGGTTTTTCTATACTCTTGTATTGAATAACTGTGGACAGATTGTGTTATTTCAATAATGACTCGAATGACAGCTCTGTAAATAACCTGCTGTTGGTAGTTTAGGAGTTTTTAATTCAATACAGATGATGTAGAGAACATGAAAGTGAGGGAGGTGACCGGATGAGCTGAGCACAAGTTGTCCTTGAGCGTGGCGCGTAACCCCTTCCTGCTCCAGTGAGACTGCTCTGTGGACACCAGATGTGACTGTGGTCAGACATTCAGACAGTAATGTAGGCTTCTATCATACAGTGGGACCTTTAGAGGACATTAGACTTATTATATAGAATCACCAGGGGCCAGTTTCACAAAGATATTTCAGAATGCTCTATAGTGTTAGGTTACCTCTGGTCTAAGACCATGGTTACCATGGTAACAATCAATGATATCTGCGCTGACCAGTAGCATCCAAGCACAAGAAACTGGATAACATGGCTCATAGTTTGTGGTTTACTAACATTTTTATGGAGAGAGCAAAGAGAAGGGAAAGAGTTTTTGAAGACGACAGTGATTTTCTTTCCCCCAAATCAGGTTTTTCTTTTTGTTTCACTCTGCTGAATTTCCCACGCAAAACGTCCTTGTAACTGTTGAATTCTTCTAAAAGACCAACATTTTCTGCTGAGGGTGAACAGAGCCGAGCAGTTACATGTGGTTCCTCGGCCCATTTTTTTTTACATTTTTTCAAAAAAGTCTCAATTTACCCAGGATTCATTGTACCCCAGTCTGGCTTAAGATAGTCACAAACTAAACTGCTCTGTGCCACAGATGAATTTAGACATCTATCTGAAGTCTGACTATTTGTTATATCTAAGCCACAATGAAAGTCTATCTTTGTGAAATCAGCTGCAGACAGCGTCATTGATTAGTTTAAATAAGAAAAGTGAGTGACTGCATGTATATCACCATGTTCACCATATTCCTTGTCTCAACATCAGCAGGTAAATGTAACAGCTCACACTTGCCATTTGAAACAGGCCCCTCAGCAGATGAGATACCAAACTGAAGTTTATAATAATAATAAATAATAAAGTTCTGTACAATATTTTAATATTATGGGCTAACCCCTAGGTAGTTAGGCTATCAAATAACTTTCCTAAGTTGCTTTTAGAATATGACACAGGAATTAAGAGAATTAGACTCTGCACCTTGCACAGATAAATAAGCTGCCATCAAAATGGCTTAAATTCAGATTTAGTCTGATCCAGATGACAGGACCTGCATTTCAGAACCTACTCTGAACTTCAGAATAATACATGAAATGTTACATCTGGCACATTAAACTGTAGTTCTTTTATCACTTCCATCTATAAATGAGTAACTATAGAGAGTGAGATTAGAATTCAGACTGGACAGTAAAGAAGTAACATTTTAATTAAAGTATTTTTTCTCTTACATTGCATTTTTCTGTAATAAAATTCTGTAGATCTGAGCTAATCGCACAGAATTTGAGTAGTTTAATTAGCTTATTAGAATTTCTGATGAAACAGGAGCAGAAAACAAAGCTATACATTATCCTGCTTAAGAAAACTCAGACTATGTTCCTGTTGTCTTCTGCTTATTCTGTAAAACTAGTCTCACTCTGCTACTCTGCTCCTATCTGTTGCCAAATGGCACTGAACGTATTTGCTGAGGAGACGGATGTGAGGGAGATGATGGCCACACATAGTCACAGTGGGCCACACAGCCTGCTCCACTGGTCTGATCACTACATCACAGCAGCATCAATCTCTCTTCCTCTTTCTCTCTCTCTGTCGCTCTCACGGCCCAACAACCATCACCACCCAAAACAAATGCCCAGGCCCCACACACACCAGACAAAAAGCAGCCATCTCTTAGCTGCTCGCCCTTTACAGCTGTGATTTTTCAGGTTTTTTCTACAGTAAAATAAATTAGATACAAAATTGGCTCCAAAACCCACTATCTGCCTTCTTATCCCTCTACCAACTAAACTCATCTCTAGTTCTCTAGATTTCTAAAACCATTATTTAAGAAACCACAACTTAATCCAGGGTCTCTTAATAATTATCAGTCTCAAAAGTACTAGAAAGAATTGTGTCCCACATATCTAACAGTAACTTTCTCAACTTTTTCAATTTGCTTTCAGGGCCTGTCACTCCACTGGAACTGCAATTTTTAAAGTGGTGGATGATCTTCTTAGTACAGATTCAGATTCAAACTTGGTGCTTGGTGCTTGATCATAGTGCAGCTTTTGATCACTGCACAGATCAGTGAAAACTCCTAACTTATTCAAAAACCAATCTGGCATCTCTGACCTGGCTCTCACATGCTTAAGGTCTTGTTTACCTGAAAGAAAGCAGTGTGTTCTCTGCAATAATATTAATTAATTATATTAATAATATTTTCCGATGAGAAATAAGGAGTGACCCAGGGCTCTGTGCATTTATTGTTGATAGTTAAAATTGTTGACAGCACTGGAACAAATTATGAATACTTGTAAGACAAACAGTATGTTTATATCATTAAAAATATGAAGGCAAGGGGATACTGCATGACACATGGGTGTCAGGCTACAGCAGCATGAAGAAGGGATGATGACATCATCACAAAGGCAGAATCAGAGAATAAGGTTCATTGTCAGGTAGGTTTTTACTTAAAAGATATTTGGCTTGGTGTTTGGTGCAGTATCCAATAAACATATTAACAGGAAATAACAATAAAAAGGTAAAATACTGCAACAGTCAAAAAGATACATTTACATAGATACACATTAAAAAAATAAAACTATGAAAAAAACTATGTACAAAAGTGTTGACAAAACTCCTGCTGAGCAGGATGTGCTGAAGATCACAGTAGAGACAATATCTGTTCTGTGCAGGAATAATACTCCAAGGTGTTACTGTAATGTGGTTGTTGATGATTGATGAGGCCAGACACAGAAGAAAAGGCAGGTGCTGGTCCATCACTGGGGAGGACTGGACTGGAATTCTGGTCCTGATACAGACAAACATGTGATAGGACACTTAGTTTAGATCATACAAGTTCTTTATATTCAAACATGTTAGGTCTGTTGTGTGTGTATAATAAATAGTAAAGATAAATATGAATATGCTAAAATCAATACAGTATTAGACAGTGGTATAACCATGGTATAAATATTCATTATTCTGAATCAGCAGTATGAACATGTATACACTGTGGCTCTGATCACACAGTGGTACAGACAAGTGGTGCAGCGTGGAGAAGGTTGACAGCTGAGGCCAAGAAGCAGATCCTGAACCCGCTGGTTCTGGATCAAACAGTCTCTTTGTCTTACTTGTAAAATAAAGTTACTAATGCATCTAGCTGGACAACAGCCACAGGAACAGGCTAAATTCTGCTACATCGCTAAAACGTCTGTTGACATCATCAATCATACATTTATACCACTTGAAGTGTTTGTCAGTACGGTTTGTCATTTGGACCAATGATACCCTTGCTACAGACCAACATTAGATGTTACTCACCTGTTCAACAGAAAAGTTGCAGCTCGGCATCAAACCACATCTCTTTACTCGCCCAGAGCTGTCTCCAACAGTGGGAAGACACAGCAGGATTTACTCGTGTTTTCTTCTTTTCTTTGCCGTTAAACGTGGTTTCTTGTCAGAGTGGTCCTTCGGGATGGAGATAAAGATCACTCTCTAGGAGCTTCAGCTATCTCTGCGTTTCTGTGATGCTAGTCGGGAGCTTGTTTTTTTTTTTTTGTCGGGAGCTGTAGCATAACTTCAGGCTCTGGAGGAAGCTCTTCTTCTTCGTGGTTGCGTTGTTTGCAGTCCAGGAGAGATTGAAGGGAGTCTGTAGATTTTAGTGGGAGGTAAAGCTGAGAGATGTTATTTTTTTTTAACATGTTTCCAAGGGGGAGCATGTATAGGCTGAATAGGACTGGCCAGAGGATGGAACCTTGGGGAATCCACTGGTGACAGGGGCAGAGGAGGAGGAGAAGAACTGGTCTATAACCACTGAAAATGTCCTGTGTTTGAGGTATGATCCAAACCAGTTAAAAGCAGTACCCTTAATACCGACCCACTGTTCTAGATGTATTAAAAGGATGTCATGCTCGGCTGTACTGAAGGCAGCACTGAGGTCTAGTAGAATGAGGATGGCGTTCTTCCTGGAGTCAACATTGAATCCGGGCAGAGTAACCTGTTGGAATTGATTGAAGTAGGCTAGATCACATGGACAAGGAGGTGGGGTGTCGAGGGGAGAGGGAGAGAAACGTGATCTGATGTTTCCCAATTTTTTTCCATAGGCATCGATGTTGTGGGAGATTCGAGGAGTGAGGATAGAATACAAAATTGTTGCCTGGCTGATCTTTTTTCCATCTCCGTTCAGCTTTACAACAGGCCTGCCTAAGGGAATGGGTTGGATCATCCAGCCACTGATTGGTTTTTAGTTTGGGGTGTGGATATTTGAGGGGATCTATGGAGTCCAGGATAGCTGAGGAGGAGGAGTGGAAGAGGAAGATTCATTTATCTGAGCTCAGAGAAGGCTCTGCAGTAGAAGAGATGGAGGTTGTGGTGGCCTTTCTTTGATAAGCTTCTGCAAAGTGAAGTGCAGTAAGAGAATTTATATGGCCAGAGTAGTAGCCAGATGTTTTGACACTAGGCTGAGAACCAGATAAAGTGGCATTGAAAACATTTGGTTTATGATTGGAGAAGCATGCATCTTCAATGTTGAGTTTGTTGATAGTCAAGCCATATGACATAATGAGGTCAAGTATATGCCCTAGTACATGGGTGGCTCCGGTTACAT